TTTCGGCCTCTTGGCCAAGGGGCAAAATCAGAGAGGCCCGTCCCAGCCCCTGGGACCCGGCCTTCAGAGATGGACAGGGGGTCTTGTGGGTGGACCAAGTCAGGCTTAGGGCAACCATGCCCCCTCCAACCGACTGACTGGACCCAGACAGAAGGGCTCCTTTCTGATGCTAAAATCCAGCAAGTAGCAACCATTGCTTGACCAGCAAGTAGCAACCATTTTGGGACTTCTCTGGGCATCCAGGGATGGTGAATTTAACTTCAGCTGATGACAATGGAAGTCAGTAAGGGTAAATCTGACATGACCTAGGGCAAGAAGACATAACTCTGGCCAGGCCCGAGAGACAGAAACACTGTAAGGTTAAAATCTGTTTCGTCCGCTAACTCTACTTGGGAGGAGGCGAGGTCCCCGAGAGCTGGGCCACCAGATGTCCCCTAGCATCAGGGGCTGGATCTCAAGGGAGGAGCAAGGGCTGGAGTAAACACCGGGGTTTCGCCCGTTGCTCTGGGATCTCTGTAGTTTGGACGTAGAAAAGAGCCCATTCAGAAGCTTCTCGGCCCTTTTTTCATCCGCCAGCTCAGTGTTGCTGGCCACAGGATAGCAGCTGTGCAAATGGAGGATATGTTGGGAGCGTGACATGTGTGCACCACATGGAGTGTCTTGGAGGCTGGCTGTGTTTGTGAGGCAGGAAGAAAAGGCATCTGTGGAGGGCTCTGTTGACTAGAAAGGGCCCACCAGTCACTCCTGCATCTGCGCACAGTGCTTCCAGGGCAGTCCATTCTTCCCTATGGCCCTCCGTCCCCTCCTTCCAGTAGTCCTCTGAGCTGACCAGCAGGAAGCCCAGGACAGAGACACCACCAAGGATGCTCAGTGCCCTCTTACCCACAGAGGCCAGACGAGCAGACCCTTCGCTGGGAGCGAGACAAACAAGTCAGGCAGGGTTCTGTGCCTTTCTTCTTACTGGGGTCCCTCCCTCCAGCTCGCAGGTGCCTTCTTGCCAAACTAAGAAAGGAACAATTTCTTTTCCTTCATACTCTTCTCCTGGAAAGAGGGGAGAGAAGTGACAAGTGTCACTTCCCAGCCTGTGGATGGCCAGAGCCTGGGCCTGGCCCTCATCCACATGACCTGCTGCTGTGGCTGTGTCCGCTGGGGCCGAAAGTGGACGAGCAGCCACCACACTGGGCACAGAGCCAAGAGACTGGGACCCCCCCCCCCCCCCCCCCCCCCCCCCCCCCCTTTCCCCCCTTCCCCCCCCTTCCCCCCTTCCCCCCTTCTCCCCTTCCCCCCTTCTCCCCTTCCCCCCTTCCCCCCTTCCCCTCCCTCCCCTCCTTCTCCCCTTCCCCCCCTTCCCCCCCATTCCCCCCACCCCGCCAAACACACTCTTACAGCCCCAACCCCGTGTTTCCCTCCAGGCTCCACTGGCTTTTCCTTGCATCTTGTTCGGGGCTGCCCCGTATGACGACAGTAGCATCTACTGAGTGCTTCCTCTCCTGGCAGTCACTATTCGAAAAATTCTACAGGGGCTATTGTGTTTCCCTCTTTTTCCACAGCTCGACAAAGTTGGCCTAATTATTCCCATTTCACAGATGAAGGAAGTGAGGCACAGACAAGTTCAAATAACTTTCCCAAGGCCTTCAGGAGTGGAGCCAGGATTACATCCCAAGGGGTCTCCACCCTCCTGACCCCCTCGTGGGCAGACTCTGTGGAGTGCGTGGCCTTAGAAGACATCTGCCCCGCACTGTGGTGAGCAGCCAGCCCACAGCCAGCCGTCCGTCCATAAACTCCCTGGCTTAGAACACTGGGCGCCGTGTCAGGTGCCACCCTGGCCCCTGGCCCTGGGGGTCACTCCCTTTCCCTCCACTTCTCTGTTACAGACAGAGCCTTTCATTCAGGTCCAAGGTGTCTTGGGCACTGGAGGAATGAGCTGCCTCTGTGGGCAGAGTGGTACGCTCGTTCCTCCCGGTTCCAACCTGCTGATCTCTGTCTTCGCAGGAACCACTCCGTCATTGGCCCTTTCAGGCTGTGACGCCTCAGACCATCCCTGGGCAGACCCAAGGGATGGATTTCTGGGCCCAACAAGAAAGTCCTATCTAGGAGAGAGGAAAGGAATGGCCCCCAGGGAATCTGCCTAGCCAGGCATTTGCTAACTTTGACTTCCTAGTTAACAAACCTAGTTAACTTCCTAGTTAATAAACGTCCACTCTCCATTCTAACTAGCCACACAGGGCTTACCCTCCCAGTCTTGCTCTGTCTGATCTCTCCCCGCTCTCCTTTTCCCACCCGGGGCTCCCCTCCTGTAGGCTCTCTCAGTCTCCAGTGATGACCTCTGTCCTCCTTCCATCTCCACCCCCAACTTTACTTAGATCTGAACGTCCATCCTCAGCCAGCTCCTGTCCCACCTAACCTCCCATGCCCATATTGTGACTGAAGTTCCCTCTCCCAAGGATGAAGCTTCAGGGTCCAGAAAACAGAGCCCCCCACCCCCAGGCCCCAAACAGAGTTCCCAGTGGGCCCAGTGTGAGTACCTGCAGATCAAGGGGATGACAAGACTTCTTGCTTATAAGCCAGGCCTGCCATTCTCTCTCTCTGAGGCTGATGCTGCCCCACTCTGCCACTGCAGTGGAGCACAAAAGCTGGGCCCATTTGCATTAATTCTCTGGGTAATTTTCACTCAGAGTCCGGGACGCCAAAGCATGCTAATTGTATGCAAACTGAATGCAAATGAATATAGAAAACTATGTGACCCTGAATTTACTGGAAATCAGAGGCTCCCCTGACTGGAAGACTTTGGAATCTACTTCCCAAGAGAAATTTAAAAATAGAGTGGCCTCCAGCTGGGGGACAGGGAGGGACAGAGTTGGAAGTCATTCAGAGGAAGGAACACAGTCTGGGTTTCTGTGTCGTTTCTAAGTGACCCAGCAAGAGTCAGAGGAAGAGAAAGCATCTGGCCACCAAGCTTTCCCTCTTTCTCCTCTCTTGGCGCTGAGCTCTCATTCAGCCCCGTGCCCTGCCAAAACCACCCCACAGTGTACATCTTGGACAACAGAGCACCCAGAACCTTCTGCATCTTTGGACATGGGCATTTAATTTATATCCCACTTCCCATGACAACACTCCATGATTCTCTTCTCCCCTTGCGTTTCCTACATTGACCTTCTTGTACTTGTTCCTCATTGGGTGTGCTGGTCAAGGGAACAGAATATTCTGGGACCTGG